CCCCCCCCCCCCCCCAAATAAATTAAAAAATAAAATAAAAATAATATAGTAGTACTAAAGCCCGGTCTTTCAACCACCATTGATTCCGGCTAGCTCCTCACCATCTTCTTCTGCCTACCAGATGTTTTTGTCCAATTTCTTAACAAAGCACAACTTTTACAAAAAAAAATTGATCCATTTTACTCGAATTTCCCTTTTTTTAGTCGGTCGTTCTAGCAAACCTATGAAGAAGTTTAGATCTGTGGATGCAGATATGATTGAGGACGGACATTAGATCTGAAAATCGATCAGAAGAAACAAAAAAATAATGTCTGAAAAATAGTTAAAAGAGATGCAGAGAGATGAAGAATAAGATAAGATCTGAAAAATACTACAGTGCTCCATAGCCTCTTTGGATTGCATTCAGGAGGAGAAGAAAAAACCTCAGAAGCAGGGGCAAACTGGAAAATGAAAAAAAAAGTATTATTTGCCTAAAAGTGTGTGCAAGTCCGAATGGGACAGGGGGTACTTCATTTTTAAGGATTGATGTTAATATAACAAACACTTTCTTGAAGTTAGTTTATCATCCACTGAAAATGGCAACAATCCTAACATTTAGGGGTAGTTTTTATAATTCTCAATAGTTTATTTACTAAAAATAGAAAGTGCACAATTAATTTCGGACGCTTCAAAAAGAAAAAGTGGACAACTAAATCAGGGTGGAGGGAAGTAAATATTCATGATTCTGGATCCTAATATTTTTGAGGGGTTCAACTACACTTTTACCGGTTATGAATCTCCATGCTTGTGCTTTTGGGCTTAATCCTCTTCGAACTCTTTGGGTCCGTTTGGTACACGGAATTGACGGAATGGGAATTGAATTGGGAGTTGAAATTCTATGGAATTGATTTGGATGAAATTGATTTCTCCAATTCCAATTCATTTTTGGCACTACCAATTCCAAATCTACATATATTTGTGCAACCAAACAACAGAATTGGAATTGTTATCCGCAATTCCAATTCCATAGTTTGAATTCCGTGTACCAAATGGAGCCTTTATGTTTTTCTTATGTTTTACTTCTTTGAAGGTGCTACCCCACCTACCTTCAGTGCAATCTATACAGTTTTTTTTTCTTTCGGGAGGGGCTGTCATATGCTAAATGTTGTGTTCTGATAAGTATTAATTGCGCCCTCCTTCCCTATTCTTTGTTACTATTGATGGGTATATTGGGCCAAGGGACAAAAATTGGTGTAATTGGCCCAATATATTTATCCGAGTCATAAAGTTTAGCAGATTGAGCCCAAGACCCTAGGGTGATCCATGAGCTTATAGGGGGGTTGATCCGCCTGGGTCATGAGGCGTCTCTAACCGATTGGAGCTGTGTCTAGCTAGGGTCAATTACTTGGGGAGAGGTTTACTTAAGTTTCCTAAGTGAAGTCTAATAGGCCAAGGAAGCTTAAGAGGCTATAAATACCCCCCCCCCTCCAAGGTATATGAATAAAAGGAAGGTCTTTCATACAATTCTTGAGTCTTGTTATATCGTCTCTATTATTCTGTAACTCTTGAGCAGATCATGAGAAATATATTCGGTGGAATTAAAGTTCCATCAATTATTTTGGCATTTCGATAACTTTTTTTATTTATGTATTTTCATCGATTATTTGATAAAATAAAATATTCTTATCACATCTTGTTTTATAGAACTTTTGAAGTAATTTTGAAATATGTAATTTATATTTTCTATTCTATTCCAATTTGTAAATAAAATAATTTTAATAAACATGGAGTTTTGCACGTTGTTCGAAGAGTGAAGATATTTGAGGGACGGAGGAAGTATTACAATGCATCACACAATAGACTTGATGAGGAATATGGATGTCAACTCTGAAACATTTACTCCTCTGGCGTGAAAATTTTGGCACCATATATTGCATCTTGATTCTTCTTGTAGCTGTATCTTATTTTTGTATCCCTACACACTGCAGATGTATCCAATAATCCCAAACTGCTCGAGAAGATGATGTCATTGCTGCAAGATGCAGAAGACTTTGACTGCCCAATATGTATCTCTCCACCTACGGACGTGGTAATTACATGCTGTGCTCATATATTCTGTCGTTCCTGTATTACAAAGACTCTGAAGCGCACAAAAGAAAACTGCCCCATGTGTCGCCATCCCTTGTCCATGTCTGATCTCTACTCAGCACCCCCACCCACAGAGACCACGCCGGGTGTTTCCTCCCCCAAACTTTCTTCTAAAGTGTCTGTCCTACTGAAACTCCTATCCGAGTCCAAGGAGAAAAATGGAGCTGTCAAATCCGTGGTTTTTTCACAATTCCGCAAGATGTTGTTGCTGCTTGAAGAACCACTGAAAAGCGCAGGTTTCAATACCCTACGGTTAGATGGGACGATGAGCGCGAAAAAGAGAGCTCAAGTGATAGAAGCATTTAGTGATTCCAAATCAGATTCGCCGACAGTTTTGCTCGCCAGCCTCAAGGCTTCTGGTACAGGTATAAGGGTAAAAAAGACAAAACTAGGAGTAAAGAATAAAAAAAGTACCTAAATGGGAGTTTGATGTTTTTATTCTCAAAATAAGATTGACAACGCCAATAATGTCAGCATATGATACACTAAAAAACTCTGTGGGATGTCAATATACATTGTCACATTGTCACCGTGCATCATCTTATTTTGAGGATAAAACATGCCACTCCTGTTTTGGGATAAGGGCCGTGTTTTACTCATATTTTGGGTGATTTCTTCAGGCATAAACCTTACGGCCGCGTCAGTGGTGTACCTATTGGAGCCATGGTGGAATCCAGCGACTGAGGAGCAGGCTATGGACCGGGTTCACAGAATTGGCCAGAAAAGGGATGTGAAGATTGTGAGGGTTATAGCCAAAGACACCATTGAAGAGAGAGTGCTGGAGTTGCAGGAGAAAAAGAGGGAGCTGGCTAGGGGCGCTCTGGGAAGAAAGGGCTCTAAGGATAAGAGGGAAGTTAATGTTCAGGACCTGTGCCGCCTCATCTCTCTGCCTGCTTGATCTTATTTCACATGCTTTTCCTCTATGAATTTTTGTTTTTTGTGGGTAGGCCTTGTGCAGTTCTCCGTCCATAGTATCAGCTTTTGTGTTTTGGTCGAGGGTAGTTTTCAAGAAAAATCCTTTGGAACAGGGGTTTCCCACATATGTTCGGTCCACTGTACACAAGAATTACATGTGGTCTTTTGCAATTGGCAACCATTCAATATGGGTGGATGCACTAGGTCTCTTAAAAAAAGGCATGCTACCCCGTCTTCGACTATTTGTCGAGTTTTGACTTTTTGCACACAATTGTTTTCAACTTTTGATCTATAATTAAATAAATTTTACTCCCTCCGTCCTATATCTTTCTTCCCGTTGCGCAAAACAAAGAAAAATCCAAGTTTTTTCAATCTATTTTATTTAAATATTGGTATGGAAATAAAAAATAAAACATACATATCTAAAAACTAAATCAAAAGTTCAACAAACCAAGTGGTGACAAGAATATTTTATTTTATCATATAGGTTATGAAAAAACACAAATAAATATAAATTCCCGTGAAGTTGGAATAGTGCTCTAGGAAGAAAGTTTTAGGACGGAGAGAGTATAAACTATATTGTTTAAATGTAGAACATTATTTTGAAAATATTATATAAAACAAAATATTAATGTCTTCGGGGCCCAAAAGCCCAACACTGACTTTCAAGTTCGGCTTGGGTGTATGAGGGGTGTGAGAGTGGTACTCAGGTATAAGATAAATATAACACCAAAGAATGTACTCCCTCCGTCCTATATCTTTCTTCCCGTTGCGCAAAACGAAAAAAAATTTCAAATTTTTTCAATCTATTTTATTTAAATATTGGTATAGAAATAAAAAATAAAACATACATATTTAAAAACTACATCAAAAGTTCAACAAAACAAGTGGTGACAAGAATATTTTATTTTATCATATTGGCCATGAAAAAACACAAATAAACCGTGAAGTTGGAATAGTGCTCTGGGAAGAAAGTTTTAGGATGGAGAGAGTATCTTTTTATATTATTCGGATATGGAGCTACAAGCGGGAGGTTCAATGGCTCTGACCCGAATACAATGCTACTCTTTAATCTAATGCTATTATTTCTCTCTTTCTCTAGAATGTCATCCTTTCTTTCGTTCCCTCCATCGCTTATTTATAGGGAAGAGATCTTGCAGAAAATTGGCAAGAAATATAAGATAGGTGAACAGTGATCAGCATTGTAGCATGCTCGCCGTCGGTAGGCATGTTGTCAGACGTCACCTCCGCATTTGATGTGTTGTACGAAAGTCATAATGGGTAGTTGGGCCGAAGTGACTAGCCTGAGCTAGGATGATTCTTACATCTTTTTTCTTGCTCGCTGAATTGTGCGCTGAGTCCAACTCAGTCCCGACTGATGGTCGGGGCATATGGAACATGATACTCGTAGGCCGTCCGGTTCTGCTGTTACTTGGGCCGACCCAATGCATGTTGGGCCTTTATCCCAACACAAGCCCCCCGAGTCTGAATACCTGAATGAAAGAATTGTATTGCGGATTTGTCGGCCGCGCATGCCGTTGCCAGGTGCGGGCAAGTGCCGCTTTATTTTCTGTGGTAGTGATGATGGTGCCAGCAGCTGGATACGACCGTTGGGTCTCCAACGCGTTATGCCGCCACGTGTTAGTTGGATGGCTGTCGGATCCCTTACCTGTGCACTATAAACGCCACTCCATCCCCTAGGGTTTATAACTTTCGCTCTTCCTCCTAAAAGTTCTTCTCTTCTCGTTTCTTTCTCTAGCGACTCGTTTCATTTTCCGGTGATCCTCATTGCCCGTCGTTTAGGTACTTCCCCTTCTCCATTCATATGTCTTCTTCTATTCCTTTAGTTTGTGGGACCCCTAATTAGTCGTCTCACGCAGGATCAGGGGTCATTCGGAGAGCTGGTAGGTTCTTTGTCGTCGCTAGGCTAGTAAGGAAGTTACATCACTGGATGTTAGTGTTAACGATTCCAGGGACGCGATTGAGTCGAGCTTCAAGCAGGGGCGGTCTTTGACAAGGGACACGTCTTCGCCCTCCAGAAGTGAGGCTGCAATCCTGGAGGTTCCTAGATAAGTCCATTTTGTTCTTGTTTTACTCAACATATTTTAAGCGTTGTTGCACAAAAATAGTAATAAATCAGTACATAATTATATGTTAATACAAACAATATCTCTTGATTTGTTCTAAAGGGAATAATAATGGGTTCTAAAATAAATCAGTTTAGATTTTCAGTTTTTTAATTCATATTTATGAGAAAAAGAAAATTCAAGAAGAGAATTACTATAAGTCGTGGCCTTCTCCCATTTTTCATCATCCATTTCATTCAGATTTCACTTTTTCTTCCTCCCTTTCAAGAGTTTCGAACTCTCTTCTCACTATAATTTAGTTTAGTTTTTTTAGAGTTTTCTCGGTGCAAGTTGTAGCTCGGTTCTCCCATTTATGCGAAAGCATAAGAGTACATTTTCTCATTTCAATTATGAATTCAATTATGTCTCTCTTCTATGAATGTATGTTTAGATCTGCTAATATGAGGAACTAATTTTATTAGGGATATGATTTATACTAGGGTTATGGTAATTTTTAGGTGAAACTAATATGTTATAATATTTTTCTATAAGTTGAGTACTAGTTGTTATTATTGTTAATTTTTATTGTGATTAATTAATTGAGAAATTATTAATCAAATCTTGAACCTGTTCATTAAGAAATTATGATCAAGATTAAAGTCATATCCTTTAATAATAATAATTAATTTCTATAATTAGAGTTAATTATTGAATAAATGTTTAATGATATTTATTCACTAGTAGTAAGGTTTTTAATAAAAGTTATTCCAACTAACAAAAGTTGTCTATAAATAGCCATTTCCTGAAAATGAATTACTTTTAAACTGCTATATAAATCACTACCTTTTTAAAGCTTCGATATTTGAGAACTTTCTAAATCAATTAGTAAATCTTGTTTAGCCAAAATCCTACTATCATTTTCCCTTGGGCCATTTCTAGAGACGACACGGGATAAACTAACATACGGTCAAGTCGATTCCCTCTTTACTACAAAAGTTATTTTATCAAATGGCGCCGTTGCCAGGGATCGGCGCAGAAAGCTGCTAGTAGGATATTTTAAGTTGACCTGAGTGAACGTTGATAGGGTCGATTTAAAAAAAACAATTTTGAATTTCCTTCTTAATATAAAAAAAAATTTAAATTAAAATAAATTAATTTCGAATCTATTTAATAAAAAAATTAATTTGATTTTGAATAATCTAAGATAGTTTTAATGACTTCTTATGAACACTCACTCTCGCGGAAATAATATTCTTCTCGGAAAAAATAATCCTGAAATATTATTCCGTCGACGAACAACTCGAATTCCACGTCAACTAAGGTTCAGCGACGAAGGAAATAGAGAAGAGGATTCAGAGGAAAAAGAGCGACCTTCAGAAGAAGAAGAAAGCGAGAGAGAAGAAAAGATGGCGGCGAACCCACGGAGGCCATACCTTTGAGATCAAACGAGCTATCAGCTATGATCCAAATGGTACCAAACAACTAGTTTCGAGGCTCAAAAGTAAAAGATCCAAAAGCACACATGTTGTGGTTCTCCTGAACATGTCAAACTTTTAGAACCAATGGGTTATCTATGGATCGTTGATAAGTCGTTTTTGGGTTAGTTCTTTTTATTCAACTAGTTTTTTAACCCGTGCGACGCACGGGCTCAAACGAAAATTTTTCGATGGGAGAAGGAACAAACTAGGAATAAAACATATACCATATTCTCAAAATAAGAGTTCAAACTTAAACTCCTCTAAATAGGCGTAATTAACATAATTAATACTCCATAAAACAAAAATATGCTCCGAACACGCACGGATGCATGCAAATATATTAAGCAGCAAAGATTACCCACTCCATGCAACTTTTTTTTGTAGTCAAGTTTTTGAGTTTTTCTTTTTTATTATTTTTAATAAAAGGTTAAAATAAAGATTTTAACTTAATTAATACGTAGTAAAAAAAAATGCTCCCCACACGCGCTGAATTTACGGCCAATACCAGTGGTGGCCAAGTTCAAAAGTAAAAAAAATTGACTAATTTCACAACAACATGCTACCGACAGCGACGCCCACTGCCGCAATCGTCGTCGACGGTGATGCCGGCCGCCGCCATCGTCACTGCCACATACCTGCCACTATCACTTGAATCTCCACCACCACCGTCCTCTGCTCCGCCGCACCGCTACAAATGAAACCTACCATTGACGCCTTTGATTTTTTGTTATCACTACCGATGATATCACCGCTCTATACCAATATCAACAACACTATCATCACAATTTGCATCATCGTCACCACAATGTCACATTAATAGTCCATAAAGTGTCAAAGAAATAAATAATAATGTGGCACTATGTAATTTCACATATATATGACAATATATAATACCATAGATGCCCATATATAATGCCACATATGCTCATATATAATGTTACAATATTACACAATGACATAATGACAAACCAAATCTAATGACACTGTGTAGTAGATAGCTGAAATGTAACAGTCTTCTACAACTCACTAAAAGCATGCAACGAAAATTTTATTGGTAGACCAATTAATCTTCACCAATGCTCCTCTTTACCTTTTTTATTATAGCAAAAAAAAAACTAATCTTCGACATCATTTTTTATATATACGACGGTGACCATTGATAATGGTTAAATGTTCCTTCTTAATAACATAAGATTGGATGGGTATTGTAAGGATACATAAAATGCATAGCAGTAGTATGTAGAAGATGGTGAGCTAAGAAGCTCTTGTTGGTGTTTGGTCTTTCTTCAGATTCAGATGTGGTTTTCCCACTCTCATTATTCACATCTATTCATTCAAATTGAACAATTTCTGGTAGTTCTTGATTAGTCAATTGATTCAAACATATATTTAATTAATTATTCTTATTTAGAAAAGTTTAAGTTTGAACTCCTATTTTGAAAATATGATACATGTTTTACTCCTATTTAGGGGGTTTTCTTAATTGATAAATTAAAATTTCCATACAGTGCCAAAAAAGACCACACTTAATGTCACATGTAATCATATAATGGCAATCATGCCAATGTATAATGTCATACATGCGAATGCATAATGCTAAACAAATTAATTATATAATGCCAACCTTAACATTGTATAATGTTATTCCTGGTAATGTATAATGAAAGATATGTCAATATATAATGTTATATATCACAGATGTTAATGCATGATGTCAAAAATGGCCTTTGATATACTCCGTGATTGTGGCATGACTTTTGCCTTCCTTGTTTGGTGGATCTTGATCCTGAGTAGTGAGTGTGTGCATATATATATATATATATATATATATATATATATATATATATATATACGGAGTGTGTGTGTGTGTGTGAATATATATCTACATCTATATATATATATATATATATATATATATATATATATATATATATATATATATATACTCCCTCCGTCTCGAAATATTCTTCCCGCGTTGACTTGGCACGCTTATTAAGGAATAGTAAAGAAAACGCAAAATTTTCAAAAATACACATACTATAAACTTTTAAATCTCTTTTTCTTATTAAAAAATTACTAAAAAAGTATATTAGTGATAAAATAGAAGGGTATTATTGAAATTTATCCTTAAAAAGTATACTAAAAAAGGAAATGGGAAGAATATTTCCGGACGGACCAAAAAGGAAAATGAGAAGAATATTTCCGGACGGAGGGAGTATATATATATATATATATGGGATTGACTCCAATCAGATGACACCTTACGGTGAGATTCTACAGTCAGATGATACAAAGCTCACATTTGGCCACTGCAAATCTCACCAAGGACAACTACAAAGCTCACCAAACTGTAAGGCAAAACTCACCATATTTTTGCAACACTTTGAATTTTTTTGAAAAAAAATCAAATGGTGCTGACTGGACTTTGACCATTGACCGTTGACCATCACCGGCAACCCCTTGCCGCTGCTGGCTACCGCCGCCGACCTCCGCCGCCGCCGGCCGCCGACCTCCGCCGCCGTCCACCGCCACCGGTCTCCGCCGCGCCGCCGCCGCTGACCGGTGGTTCACCGATGTTGCTATTTTATTTTTTTTTATTTTTTAATTTTCAAAATAAAAAAAAGGTGAGTTTTGGTGTTCAAAATGGTGAGCTTTGCTTTATTCCCAGGTGAGCTTTGCAGTGTAATATGGTGAGTTTTGTGTCATCTCAACGAAACATGTCATCTCACCGTAAAGTGTCATCTCACTGGTGTGTGTAGAGAGATTGAGTAGTGATTATTTTATAAATCTGCTTTTTTTTTATCTATTTTATGCTATACATCATGTAGAAAGATATTTGAGTTTAATGGGGACGTTTTTGGTCACTGGTAGCAATTCACAAGATAGTTGATCACTGAAATTTGGGAACCAAGTTGAACCTCACTAATCATGACCCTTGCAATCGAAGTACGGCTTGGTCTCGAACAAGCTAATCTAAGGATTGCTCTGCCACTATCCACCCCATATTTAATTAATTACTCCTATTTAGAGGAGTTTAAGTTTGAACTTCTATTTTGAAGATATGATCCATGTTTTACTCCTATTTAGGGGGTTTTCTTTACTTTTAGTTTAGTTTTGTTCTGGTTATCCCAAAGTGGCTCTGGCTCTGCTTTCGGTTGTAAGTTTATTTTTACAACTTTTAATAAAATGTTCTTTTATTTTATGCACTGTTAATATCTAGTATGGGTTAGGACCCGGATTAGGGTTCTGGCTAAATTTGGGCATATACTCTGTATATTTATTTAATAGTTGGAATAATTGTTGTAGAATTATTTTTATTGTTAAATTAATTAATTATGTCGAGAGAAAAATTAATTAATAATTGGAAATTAGTTTTTACCTTGTCTATGAGGATATAAAATTAATTAAGCCAAACTTTTTACAACGCATTAATGATACCTTGAGAGAGGATAAGTTAATGAAATATTTGTGACAGAAATATATTTATTCCAATTATTGATTAAATATGTGACAACAGCAGTTAACCCAGATGATGCCTTGGCCCGAAGTCTAGTCCTATATCCGTACTATTTATTTTCTTTTTCTCAAAAGCGATCAGTAGTGTAGTTTAAATTTATTTTAAAATCAAATCGAGAGGACTTTCAAACCCGTCCTAACCTTCGTCTAGTTAGAAAAATTAGCTAATTCCCTTCGTCCACTCCTCGAGAGACACGACACTTCGGAGAAAACTAACCCTTTATTGGGAAGGTTGACTTACCGAAAAACTCAATCATCAAATGGCGCCGTTGTCGGGGAGTGGCACGGTTTTAGTTTAATTTTTTTTAATTAGCTTGGGTGAAGACCGGTTAGGTCAATTTTCTCACCTCTTTTTCACAAGCCACTCGTAGTAATCATTAAAAATGAATTTTCGAGATGATTACTACGATCCGCCTCCTTTCTACCAACCACCCAACCACCCACCATCATTCTCTCAACAATCCAACTACTATCCACATCAGGACTCCTATAATGATGGCTACTCAGTCAATAATGGACCTGATTATTATCCATACCATGAGGAACCACCATACTATACCCCGTCTCGAAATTTTGGATATTCTCCATACCAAGACAATTGTGAGGATAATTATGAACCTCATGGTGATCAAGATGATTATGACCAGCAAGGGCCAATGTACGATGACCAGCCAGATCCACGAATTGAAGAACTTCTATGGACTGAGGAGAGAATACGTAATCTTGACCTAGCATTAGCGGTGGAGTGTTCATCATTTCAACCACCCTATTGTCGTGATTACTCTCTGACTTGTGAAGAGGAAATCAAAGCAAACAGAGATGTAATCCAGGCGAGAGAATGATTTCTCAAAACAGTCCAAGAAGAACGCCAACTGCTCCAAACCCAGAAAGATAACGAACAACGCGAATATTGGGAGCATATGCAAAAGATGCTGGAGGACTTTAAGAAGACTATGGAACAACAAGAAGAGATGGAGGAAATTGTTGTTCTAGAAGAGGATGAAGAATCTGAGACAGAATCTGAAATTGAATCCAACAATGTCTCAATTCTTGAATACCCACAAACTCCATCACCACTGTATAACGAAAATAAGATAACACTTGCAGAAATGATTGCAAGAGGTACAGTGGTGATGCTTCCTGAAGGCCCGAAAAGTCAACTTGTACAAGAGGTGAAGCATTCAGAGGAATCCTGTCTCGGAATTGCCTTCACCCGCTGCACGAGAAATGTTGGAGGAACATGTCCTCCTTACATGTGTTGAAGACACTTCTCTAGAGGAACCTGTTCTGGAGAAATCTGAGCCCACCACCAACCCCCTTGATGCTGATGAGTCTGAACAATCTATAGACGAGGAACTACCCTGTGATGTTGAATCCATCCCGTCTATAGAAGTTCTTAATGCTGAAGTCTCACTTGAGGATTCGGACGAAGCCCTCTTTGACTCCCTACTTGACGGGTATGACCATTCTTACCCGAAGGAAAGTTATAGTCAAATGAGCTGGGACGAACTCTTGATGAGCAACACTGGAGACTCAGGGGAAGGACATGCCGTAATCATCGAGCCATCAACAGAAAGTCAGCCTATTGGGGACTTGGAAAGTCAGATCCTGGCACTAAAGGCCAATGATGTGGATACACCGAGGAGACTCCCACCACCATCCATGCAAGACGAGTCTCCTCCATTTTTCCTGTTGTCACCACGACGCAGGAGTGAGTCAAAGATCCTGGACTTTGACTGGAATAGAACTGAACAAAGGTGGCATCAGAAGAGAGTTAAAAAGGTCAAACTTTATGACTCTCGGATCGGTAAGTCCCGTAAAAAACGGGCTAACGTCAAGCTAGTGACGTTAAAGAAGCGCTTCTTGGGAGGCAACCAAAGTAAATAAATTTTATTTTTCTTTTTCCTTTTTACGCGTTTTTGTTTATTTGTGTGCAGGTGGAGCTAGGAATTAGGAGTACTGGTGAACCATTTTTTACTCGACAAAAAAAAAGAGGAATGACTAACTTTTGTGCACAATTTTGTAAAAATCTTTTCAAAAAAAATGAGAATTATCTCTGTCCCAAACTCTTGTTTTTATCGCTTATGACCTCGAGGGCAAGGTCAACCCTAAGTGTGGGGAGACTGGAGTTTGGTACAGAATTTTTGTGTAGGAAAACATTTTGAAAATATTTTTATACACTTTGTTGCATTTTACATATTAATAATGATCTCTGCACCATGTACGGAATGACTGTCTAAGCTGGAATGGTACTTAAGTGGACACAAAGGGTGACGCCTTCGGGAGCCGAACTTGTCCCACCATTCCTACTGGGTCATTCTGTGGAAAGGTTTATTCGGGTGAGCCTAAGAGCACCTAATTGGCAGCATTCTGCCCGATCCCGAATACTCTGAATCGGTCTAGTTATCACTATTGATATTTTTAATGTTGTTTTACATTTCTTTTTACTCTTTCCAAAGGTAAAATTATTTTTAATAGCCCCCTTATGCAAAAACTAGCCAAAATTTTTAATTTTTTTCTTTAAATTGCACATATAGTCTGATGGGAAATAATACGTGGCTCGGCCCACATTTCCCAATTATTTTACGAAGAACAGTCAAACCTGGCATGTTTAATAAAATGGGGGAATAAGAGAATATTCCCTGAATATGCTTCCCCTCCTCCCCTATAAAAAGAGGGTTTGCCCTAATAGTTGGGGAGGCCATTTTTCACTCCTCTCCCTGCCCACTTTTTTCTCTCTCTACAAAGTTCTTAGAGTATATATTTTTCTTCTTCTTCAAGAGCTCAAAAGCTCCATTAATGGCTTCTTAGCCTAAATCATGTTCCATGTACACACCCCCGATATTAATAAAAATCCCCCGTTGGCAAGGTACCGCCAAAAAAGGCCCGTGGTTTTCTCCCGATTTGGGTTTCCACGTAAACATCCTCGTGTTTATAGTTTGGTGTATTTTTTAGACTAGTTTATCGTTTTAGCCGGGCTAAAACGATACCAGTCGATAATTTACACTATCATTTTGGCGCCGATCGTGGGACCCGAGCTAAAAGTCATACTCGGTATTTTTTTTTTCACTGGCAGGGCAAGGGAGTGGGGAGTTCAAGCCGAGTATGAAAGAAAAGCCAACTCAAATTTTATTTGGCCCAATCCAAAAAACAAAACTCTCACAATGGGGTATTTTCAAAAGAAAAAAAAATTCCAATTCTTGGCTATTGGAGAGGGAATTGTTCTCCCATAAAAAAAATCCAATCGCAGAGCCTTTTTTTCTGCAGCTATTGGATCCACATAGTCTCTTTTGATGCTGGAGTCCATGCCGGAGTCCGTCAAGCCAAGATGTCGGTGCTGAAACAACCACCTACCCAGCAAACCTTGTAAACGGCCACTCGAGCTCATGATGCCATTCCAAGAGCAGGTCTGGAAGTGGAACCTAAAAGGCCGGCGTCGGGGACGAGAGATCCGGTCGCCATGGACGGGGCATGGGCGCCGTCGCCGTCGTCATCTCGCGGCGAATTCGACTCTTTGGACTCGTCAATTGGGCCCAATGCTGCTTCGTAACCTTTGGAGAAATACCTCGTGCCGATGAGCTTTCTATTGCAGCTCGAAGCGTTGAAATTCTTACCGGATTTGTACTCTCCCTTCCACCAACTCGGAACAGGGCCAAGGCCAGAGTCGTCGAAGCTTAGGATCCAGCAATTGCCGGAAAGACCATCGTGGACGGCAACCCACTTGACGGAATTTTCTATACGGCGAGCTAAACGATGTCCTCCTCACAAACGGCCTCTCATAATTAAGCCGCCGGACCCGCAGACGTTGTGCTTGGCGATCCGGCCGACTATTTCTGGCGCGGAAGTTCAACTATGCCAGTTCCTATTACTGTTCAAATTACATCTCAAACGAGGCTGAAACCAACCATTACCGTCATTGAAACCAAGCATCCCCGCTGCCAATGCTGGTGGCCAACGTCGCCGCCGCCGCCGCCGCTGCTCAGATTTCGCCGCTGCTGCTTAGACTCGCCGCCGCCGTTGCTCAAATTCGCTGCCGCCGCTGCTCAGACTCGCCGCCGTCGCTGCTCATATTTTCGCCGCCGCTGTTCAAACTTGCCACCGCCGATGAGATCCTCCGATATCACCACTATCGGAACTGCTGGTGTAGGAACTGACGCCACATGGATGTCATTGAAGCCACCGCCACTGTTCAAGTGCACGAAGAAGATGGCCATATTGAAGTAGCCATGTCTACTCGCATATAGTCGGGATGGAGCTGGGGTCTTTTCATTTAACCATTGGAGCACCTCTTTTCAAAATTATATTCCTTCGAAAGAGGATCCAAAGAGGAAAAAAAGTGGATGGAAATGGATGCCGACCACATAAAGGAAAAGAGGAAAATGACACTCACTTTGGTCCAAAAAAATAGCGCAAAGGGATGGGCATATGCGGTGCTCAACTATTCCCAAGATAAAGTGAATTGGTGGGGATGGCTCCCCACACTCATTACGGAGTATTCATTATTTGTGAGGGGCCCATTTAAATCAAAATCCCAAATGGAGGAGAAAAGTCTTTGTTGGCTACACTGCACAGCGGTGGATTCAATGGATTATTATTTTATACGGAGTAGGAGTAATCATGGATGAAGAGTCTCTCATGAGACATGGTCTGCTATCCTTCGTTGTTTTATTCAATTGGAAGGAATCAGCTATGGAATTAATCATGTTCGATCAAATTGGCGTGATAATAACTCTGGTCGAACTAGGGCCAATGTTTTGCTGAGGAAGACTGAGACACAGGCCCGGACCTGGCACGCCGGTCTTGCTCAGTATAAAATAAAAAAATTATAAACCCGGAAGAGGGTGTGCCTGCAAAAGGGCTGGACCTGGAAGAGGTTCGAACCGTACTTACACGGGCCCATGAGGTTTGACCGGTATCGGGGAATCAGCCGAGATTGGCAAACTGATTGGAGGACTAAAAGATGCCCATTAAAAGAAATAGAAGAGGGATCGTCCACCGTGGCGCATCCTATTTCCCCCTTCTCAGGGAAGACTTGAACGGGGGGTGAGCTAAGGCCTTCCCGGGATAGTAAATATCAAAGGGCCATTAAAAGACTTAATCACCCGGAAGAGGGGGCCCTGGAAGAAGGGTGCATTTTGGGCCTTGGAGAGGGCTCGAAACCATCCGACATGGTTAATTCTCCAATGTTGATCTAGCCCGGCCAGCAGCATTATCTTATTGGAAGACTGAGACACAGGCTTGGCCTGGCACGCTGGTTACTACACCGGTCTTGCTCAGTATAATAAAGAAAATATGTGACCCAGTCGAACTGGTACACTGGTCTCACACCAGTCTTACACATATTTTCCAATAAGCTTGAGCCCAATCGAATTGGGTACACCGATTGCACATCGGTTTCAGCAAAAAAGTGAGCAAAGCTCATATCGGGGACGCCCGATTCATTTAAGCCCTCAATCTGAGGCACTTTGATCGAAGATGGTCTCCGCAAGACATGAAGATATTTACATCAGTCAGCCGGGCTAACACTGATCTTCAACAAAGCTACCGCATCGGATTCAATTCTTATTAACTAAGGTCGTTGTCATCGGTATACTAATATGGTCACACATTGTTTGCTTGACTCGTATTAACATCGGTCTCGACGAAATAACTACTTGAAGCACCGCCGCTTCATCGTACTAACTCCGGTGTCGTATAACTACTCGAAGCATCGTTGCTTAATCAAACTGACATCCCTCTTGTTACGATAATTATTCACGCGAAGTTTAGTCACCCTAACACCGAGCTCCTCGGTAAAGATAATAATTATTTGAGCACGGCATAGGCCGGTCAAAAAAAATGTTGTGCATATTATTTTTGCAGGAAAACCTTCTGATTCAAGAAATTGGAGAATTAATGAAGACTCGGAGGACTAGCAACAATATCAACCGGTCAAGAATCCAAAGTATGAAGATCGAAGATATCACTCGGAGGACTTGTTTACTTTTTCAAGTTGATGATTCTCACAACTTAAAAAAGTGGAGGACTTATTGATGGGAAATAATACGTGGCTCGGCCCACATTTCCCAATTATTTTACGAAGAACAGTCAAACCTGGCATGTTTAATAAAATGGGGGAATAAGAGAATATTCCCCGAATATGCTTCCCCTCCTCCCCTATAAAAAGAGGGTTTGCCCTAATAGTTGGGGAGGCCATTTTTCACTCCTCTCCCTGCCCACTTTTTTCTCTCTCTCTACAAAGTTCTTAGAGTATATATTTTTCTTCTTCTTCAAGAGCTCAAAAGCTCCATTGATGGCTTCCTAGCCTAAATCATGTACCATGTACACACCCCGATATTAATAAATATCCCCCGTTGGCAAGGTACCGCCAAAAAAGGCCCGTGGTTTTCTCCCGATTTGGGTTTCCACGTAAACATCCTCGTGTTTATAGTTTGGTGTATTTTTTAGACTAGTTTATCGTTTTAGCCGGGTTAAAACGATATACCGGTCGATAATTTACACCATCATAGTCTTTTTATTGGTTAACTTTAATAAGTTTTGTAAATAAATAAATTTGGATACTAATGTGTTGAAAATAAAATTTTTGATTTAGTGAAAAATATTAACTTGTAAAATACGTTAAGGTCAAACATTTTTAACTTGTCATTTAAAATGATGCTGTTTCACTACTTCAAATTGAGTATGAGCAGTATATTTTTCTGAAAATTTGATATTTCAATGATTGCATTGTAAGTTTTGAAAAAAAAATAATTCAAAGAACACATTTTGGTGAGACCAAGTTTTGGAGTGAATTAAAAAGTCAAAAAGCATCTGGTTCTATGTCAGATGATGAGACTTATATTGAAGTGAGTGCCAAAAAGCATGCGGTTCCATGTCGTGTGATGAGGTTTTTGAGTGAATAAAAATCCAAAAAGCTCGTGGTTCTATGTCATGGGATGAGGATAAAAGTTTTTGCTTGTGTCAACATGACAAAGTGATGTTCTACAAAAAAAATCAAACTTACTCTTTGCATAGGAATAAATGATATTTTCAGAAAAGTTATTTTTATTTTCTTTCAATGTACATATTTTTGACCTTAAGTTATTTTGCAGTTATTATTAAATACTTACAATCCTTTTGTTTTAAACTTTATATCCAAGTTTGTAAATGAACAACTTTTACATTTAGCCAATAACATTAATTTATGTGCATCTTTTTAGAAAAATAATTAAAAATCTTTGCTAACGTTTTTGTAAAAAGGGTCCGGCGATGTTCTTCTCGTTTCCGGCTGAGTCGATCCGTGAATTTCTTTCCGGCGAGCTCCGGCGTCTCTCCCGTCGGTTTGGTTCGTCGCTTGTGGTTGGTGGAGCACAGTTTCAAGTAGATTAAATTAAATAATTGAATTCAAGTAGATTAAATATAATATGGAGTAATTGAACAATTGGGCGAGGGAATTTAGTTCGCCGCCGATGTCCGTTGACCACAGTTAATTCACAGTCCAGTCTAGTATTTGATGAAATTTTGGTGAAAACCTGGATTGAGTTTCAGCGGCAACTTCCGTGAGGGTCAATCTGAAGAGGTGGAGGCGACCAGGGCCAGTCATGAGTATTCATCAGCCTGGGCCGAAACAGAAAAAAGGCCCTAAAAATCTTTTATTAAATGTTCTAAATATTCACATATGTAAACTAATTATATCTAAATTATAATTAACGCAATATTATTAGAGCTCCGGCTTGAGATTTTCTCATTTCTTCATCTCGTTTTCTCTTTTTTCTTTTTTGACTACCGGATAATTGTTTAGGAGCCATAAGTATTGAATTATTTCTGAAATAAAATCCAAAATCATAAATTCTACTAAGTAAAATCAAGAATAAAAAACTGAAAAAAGCAATCAAATAAATAAATAAATATATCATAAATTAATATCAATTCATCAATTTTTCCTTTTTTAATTGTTTTTTATTTTTCAGTTTTAATTTTTTTATAAATCATAAATTCATATCAATTCAACAATTTTTCAGTTTTTGATTTTTTTAGTTTTCAGTTTTTTTTAATATAAATATATAATTATCATAAATAACAAATTCAAAACAATTCATCCAAAATCAAATAAATAACATATAGAACCATTCATTAAATCTATTTCAAAGAATGAAATTAGAAAAGATTTCAAATTTAAAACTAATAACTAAGTAAACTAACCCTAGATTTTAAATCTAAATAATGAAACAATGAAAGAAAATTAAGATTTAAGAAATAAATTAATAAAAATTACAAAATTAATTACCTGGAGGCGTGGCGACTCAGAGTCCGGCGGTGGAGGAGGCCGGCGGCGACTCAATCGGCAGTTTCGGCACATGCACGTTTCTGCACGTCGACGGATCTGGTTTCTTCGTCACTGAATTCGATCGGCACTCTGCGTCTCTTCCATTCCGTATTTCCGTTCTTTTTTTGGTTTAAGTTAAGGACTTAAGGCATTGGTGGACTAATGGACTAGGCCTGGGCTTATATACATATACATATATATATTACTAAAAAAATATTTTTTTGTGCACCCAAAATTTTTGGGCCCGGCCCGGACGGCCACCTTGTCCCCTATATGGGCCGGCCCTGGAGGCGACGACATTCCTATGGCCAATATGATAGCATCGTCGTTCTATCTAAACGGAAAAGGAGATTTGGAATCGTCCATTTGATTCTGCAATCCCTGAAGTTGAAGAAGAAAAGCCAGATGTTACAACTGACCTGGCAAATTAAACTACACGTATGATCCTACATGGAACGACAGGTGTCAACCCCACAGGTAAAAAACCCTACTTTATATATATATATATATATATATATATATATATATATATATATATATATATATATGATCTAAGCCAACTATAAGTTGTAGTTTATGACCTTGTTTTGAAGTTTGAATAATCCTTTAATATAATACTTAAGAGTTGATAGCCTAGAATTTTAACATGTGACAAATTAAGACTCCTAATTTGATTACACGCCAGGGTACACGCGGTGTTTAAGAGAGGAAATCGCATATCTCCCAGAACCGATTCTTCTTCTCTCTAGCGAGGGACTGGGAATCGATTTTACAGAAGGAAGAAAACCTGCAAGGAAACTACGGATGGTTCAAGGCTGATTCCTCACTGCATTAATGCCAAAAATATGATAGAACAAAAATACTCCGTCATTTTTTTATTTCCCTGTAGCGGCCAAACGCAGAGTAAATTTGGCCGATAGGCTTCCAGTGGACGGCAGCAGACTCGGATCTTCATCCTCTCTCATCGGAAATCTAGATCTGATATTCATTAGGGAAGCCGAAATTCTAAAGAGCACTGATTTCGGTAAGTTATTTCTCCATCTCGATTGGGATTATATAATAATTTCTAGGATTTTTTATTGCTATCTCTTCAAAAGGAAACTCAAAATTTCTGCCGATCTTCTCTCTCGATTCAATTCTGGCTTCTCTTCGTCGCCAAAGGAAATTTGAATGTGTTGTATCTTTTCATCCTAACCTCTCTCTTCATTTAGATCTAAAATACCCCAAATTGAGATTCATTAATCAGAATCGAGATTCATTGGCTCTATAATCACTGCTAATAGTAATTGCTATGTTTCCCCCATTTTATCGTGCATATTCGATTACTGTTCTTCTTCGATTTACTAGATACATATCCGTTAATTATTTGATTCTATATTGCCTTGCACATTTTCTATTGGTAAGTTCCAATATACTTACTTTGATTCATAATGTTGGCATGCCAGATTACATACCGACATACCGTGAATAAGCCGATAATATGCCTAATTAAATACTTTAGTTTTCACGAGCATTATAGCTATATACGGAGTATAAAGTTTCTGCATAATAATATGCCTAATAATTCACTCTTTGTTAACTATTAAGCCCATGGTACTTGTGTGTCAATTTTTTTTTGAAGTTGGGTTATTCAGGGTGCCTGGCTTTGGAATGAATGGTAGGCCGTTGTCCACGTTCAATGTCTAGTGCCACTTTTGTACCTTTTGAAGGATTCTTCATGCCTTTGTCACACATTTTGGTTTGATAATGAATTAATGATAGTGTTTGTAATTTTATGTCTGTATTCTATGAGGATTCTTGAGTTGGTTTCTCTTTGTTAAAAAAACATTGGTCAGTATAACAAAAAATTGATGATGGGTACCCCTCATTTTGGGATAAGAATTGTCGGGTACCCTTAGTTTTTAAAATATACTTGCAGGTACTCTACATTATTGGAAAACTTGCCAGGAAGGGATTTTTCATCCATCCGTCAGTTACTCCGTCATTTTCATACTCTTCTTCTCCTTTCCTTCGTCTTCTTCAATCTTCTTCCTCCTCTTTTTAATTTCTCTATATGAATTAAATCTTCAATTTTTTCTTTCGCTTATTTAAATCCATGCAAAATTTTGAATTGCTTTCTTAATTATGCTCATCACTATTTCATATGCAACTAGGATTAATTGCATATTTGATTCTCCATATCTCTTTGTTTAACGACTCAATCTTCCAAAATTTGATTTGATTCGCTTTCTGAATTAAATATATACGGAGTACTCATCGGGGCTATATCATTTAATTTCGATTGTGTTTTTAACAAAGATTGAAGAATATGGACGGCGGAGGAGAGACGATGACATGGAGGAGGCGGAGGTCTTGCTCGAAGCACGATTTTCTCCCCAAGGAATCATTCAGAGGCGGGGGCGATTCAATGCGCTCAAGCAAATGCCTTCCAGGTTCGTCGAGCGGGTGTTCAGCAGGTCCTACGAAGGGGCATAGCTGGCCGCCAGATCCCGGAGCAACCATGAGATGAAGAAGAGTCTATGATACGGAACGGTAATGAAGGGCTTCGAGTGCCTTCAAACTCCAATAGACTAATTAGGGTTTTATTATTCTGATGATGAAACAAGGAAGATACATCCCTTATTTATAGTAGTGAGAAACCCTAATCCTACTCTACCCTGTCGGTTCAAAAAAAGCGTCAAGGGAAAGAACCGAAAAGAAAACCCTTGAAGGGACTTATAGTACGTCCACCTAAAAAAAACCTATTACATAAAATATTAATTTACTTTGAATTTTGCTACAAAGTCGTCCCAATCCCTGAGCAGTCCGTTATTCCTTCGCCACCGAAACCAATCGGCGGCTGGCCCTTCAAGCATCATGGTGACGCACCGCAACCGATCCTCCGGAGGTGTTTCGTAGTAGGCGAAATACTCCTGTACTTGATACAACCAACGCAGTGGTTCTGTGCCGTCGCTTTTGGGTGGTTCCAGTTTAGGCTTTGGCGTCTGGAACCCGCCNCACGGCAGTTTGGATCGTAGCCAGAGCACCGTCGAGTCTCTCAAACCTGAACTCCAAATCTCTCTGCATCTGCACCATGGCGTGTCCCATCTCACGAACCCTAGCATCGAGTTCGTGCGTGGTGGACGATGCGTCAGTCATGTCTCTCAACGAGAGCACCTTGATACGGAACGGTAATGAAGGGCTTCGAGTGCCTTCAAACTCCAATAGACTAATTAGGGTTTTATTATTCTGATGATGAAACAAGGAAGATACATCCCTTATTTATAGTAGTGAGAAACCCTAATCCTACTCTACCCTGTCGGTTCAAAAAAAGCGTCAAGGGAAAGAACCGAAAAGAAAACCCTTGAAGGGACTTATAGTACGTCCACCTAAAAAAACCTATTACATAAAATATTAATTTACTTTAAGACATAATCCCCGTGCCATCCCGGCGCTTTCCTCCTCCGCTGCTCTCGTGGTCTCCCGCGATCTTCCCAGGCCGGCATCCTTTCTTCTTGGGCCTGATTAGCCTTGACTCGGCCCACTGGCCTCTCCTGCTCACCCACATCCTTCTCTCGTGACCCATGCAAACCATGCGTAACATTCCCCTTCGCTTGCGAAGACACCTTGTCCTCAAGGTGTAGCATAGGAAACCGTTGACGAAGTCGGTCATAGGGTTCCCAGGTGGCATCATCTCTGTCCCCATCCGACCATTCCACAAGACATTGTTTCACCGGCTTTCCCCGGACTAGCACCTGCCGTTCAGCGTGGATCCTCACGGGTTCAGATAGGGGCTAGCCATGCACCAATTCCGTTGGCAGCGCGATTTGGTCTTGCTCCGGGGTTGTTCCATAATACGGTCGTAACAAGGATACGTGAAATACGGGGTGAATTCGCGAACCTGCCGGTAGCTCCAGACGGTAGGCAGCCTCCCCAACCCGTGCTACGACCCGGTAAGGTCCATAATATCTCCGTGCCAATTTCTGCGAGCTCCGCCGGACTACGGAGTGTTGCCGATAGGGTTGCAGCTTTAGGAGTGCCCAGTCACCTTCCTTGAACTGCAAATCTGTCCGGTGTTTATTGGCCATTGTAACCATTCTTCGTTGCGCCTCCTTTAAATTCTCCCGTAACCGTCTCAGTAGGGAGTCTCGTTCCTGCAAAATTTATCAACTTCGGGCACCTTGCTTTCTCCCCGGCGATAAGGTAAGAACGACGGCGGTGGCCGTCCATACAAAGCTTCGAACGGGGTCACCTGCAGTCCGGAGTGAACGCTGGTATTCAAGGCATATTCGGCCCATGGTAAGAGCACCGACCACCGGGCCGGTTTATCCTGTGTGAAAGCTCTCAAGTACTGCTCCACTGCCCGGTTCATGACCTCTGTCTGCCCGTCGGTCTGGGGATGGAACGCTGTACTCATCGCCAAAGTTGTTCCGCTGGCTTTTAAAGCCTCTCGCCAGAAATTGCTGAGGAATACCCGATCTCGATCCGATACAATCGTCTTTGGAAATCCGTGGAGTTTCACCACGATGTTAATGAACAGGTGCGCTGTTCGGTGAGCGTCAAATCCGGCCGGTAGCGCTCCCAAGTGAACCAACTTCGTTAAGCGGTCCACAACTACCATTATCACTGTATAACCTCGCGACGGCGGTAAACCCACGATGAAATCCATTGAGATGTCCTCCCATACTTGAGTTGGCACTGGCAACGGCTGTAGCAACCCTGCTGGTGGATGTGTGGCATATTTTGTAGTCTGGCAGGTATGGCATTGTTGAACATAGGCTTTGACGTCGGATCTCATTTGTGGCCAATAAAAATTTTGGGCAAGCCGCAAGAAAGTTCTGTGAATTCCTGGATGTCCCGCCAGTGGAGTGTCATGGTGTTCCCGAATGAGCTGTGGGCGCAAGGTGGATGAGGAGCCGATGCATACCCGCCGTTTGTAATAGAGCACCCCACCTACGACCGAATAGGGTTCGGCCAATCGTGCCTCGTCATGCTCCTGATGGCGTGCGATGAGATCCGGTTGAGTGGTATTTTCCCGTCGTATCTCCTCCATTAGATTCGGCACAGGCGAGGAGATGGCCATGAGCTGCTGTCCATCGCGGTCCGCCTCGTCTCGCCGTGAAAGGGCGTCGGCCACCCGGTTGGCTGCCCCAGGTTTATATTCTATTTTAAATTGGTACCCCAAAAGCTTTCAGATGTAAAAATGTTGGTCCGGAGTCTGAACTACCTGCTGTAGCAACTCCCGCAGACTTTGGTGGTCCGTGCGAATCAAGAACTCCCTCCCCAGTAAATATTGCCGCCACCGCTGAACCGCCTCCACAATTGCGTACAACTTCTTGTGGTATGTTGACGCCGCTATCCGCCTAGGGCTCAATTTCTTGCTAAAATACGTGACGGGTTGTTCCTGTTGTAGTAGCACCGCTCCTACCCCGGTCCCGGACGCATCTGTCTCAACCACAAATTTCTCCGTGAAATCCGGCAGCCTCAAAACTGGGGCTGTCGACATCGCTGTTTTCAGTCGCTCGAAGGCGGCATTGGCCCTTTCTGTCCACACGAAAGCATCCTTTTTTAGTAGATCTGTTAGTGGTGCGGCTATCTACGCATAATGTTGGACAAAACGTCTGTAATATCCCGTGAGCCCAAGAAAACCTCTCAACTGTCAGAGGGTGCTCGGTCGTGGCCATTGCTCCATGGCCGAGATTTTGGCTCGGTCGGCTTTCAAAGCTCCATTCGCCACGATGTGCCCCAAATACTCCACCTGTTCGGCCCCGAAAGTGCACTTCGAACGCTTGATGTAAAATTGACTGCTCCGTAAGAGGGAGAATACTTGCTCCAAGTGTTGATGATGTTCCTCCATGGAAGGGCTATAGATTAAGATGTCGTCGAAAAATACAATCAAGAAGCAGCGTAGATAGGTGGCGAATAGTTGATTCATGCAAGCTTGGAATGTTGACGGCGCGTTAGTGAGGCCGAAGGGCATGACCAGGAACTCATAATGCCCTTCATGCGTCCGGAAAGCTGTCTTGTGGACGTCCCTGTCATTCATCCGGATTTGATGGTACCCCGACCGTAAATCCAATTTTGTGAATACCCGTGCCTTCCCCAGCTCGTCGAACAACTCGTCCGCCGTGGGGATGGGGAAGTGATCGGGAACTGTCACCATGTTCAAAGCCCGATAATCCACGCAAAACCGGTAGGTCCCATCCTTCTTTCGTACTAGCAACACCGGCGATGAAAAAGGACTCCTACTCGGCCGTATAATCCCTTGTTCAAGCATCTGTCTCACTTGCCGTTCAATCTCTTCTTTCTGGAAGTGCGGGTACCGATAGGCCCGTACATTCACCGGAGCCACGCCGGGTTGTAAGAATATACGATGGTCTGAGGTCCGGTGCGGAGGCAGTCCCTGTGGCTCCCTGAATACATCCTCAAATTGATCCAGTAGCTCCGCCAATTCCTGTGGCAGCCTTGCTGGTGCCTCGCCAGATTCCCCTTTTGTTGCTTCCTCGGGTTGGACTGCCATGATGACGATGCCGACGTCCACCTCGCGTCGCGCGTGCAGCTCCCGTAAATGATGGAGTGAAGTCTGTTTAGGGGTTAGTGCATCCCCCCGCAAGGTCACCGTTTGTTCGCCCCAGGCGAACTCCATTGTTACTCGCTCGTAGTCGTGTAGAACTCGCCCCAACCCTCTCAACCATTGGACGCCGAGGACCACGTCATGTCCGTGAATCTGAAGGACGTAGAGGTCTACCCTAAATGTTGTTCCTTGCAGCTCAAGCTCCACATTCCGGCATTGTTGGTTGCAGCATAGGGAGTCGCCGTTCCCTACGTACACCCGGAATGCTGCCACTGTCTCCAGGCTCATTCCCAGTTTCTCCACAGTGCGAGGGTGTACGAAGTTATGCGTACTTCCCCCGTCAATTAATACATCTAGCCCATGTTGACCGATCTTACCCGTCAATCGCAGTGACCGCGGAGTGGAGACCCCCGCCATGCTATTCAAACTGGAAATATCGGCAGCCACCTCGATTTCTTCCTCCTTCTCGCTGTCCTCCTCTTCCCCGTCATCTTCCCCCATGATTAGGATAAATCTCCCACATTTATGCCCCTTATGCCACTTTTGGTCGCAATTGTAACATAGCCCCTTCGCGTCCTTCTCTAATCGTTCTGCGCGGGAGAGTCGCCTGACGGGTGGTGAGGTGGAGGACTCTCGACCCTCCAACGGAATTTTAATTCCACTTCCCGTCGGGGCTGGTTTGCTGACCGACCCAACTGATGCTTCCGTTGCTGCCCGGTTAGGACTGTTGCGCGTGAAATTGTTGCCCCATGATGCGCTCCTCATCCCCACCGATTGCACGATGGCCTGATGCTTGGCCTCCAGTTCCCGGGCCAAGGCGAACGATTCTGACAGTGTCTCGGGCTTTAATAGGCTAATTTCGTGTTGGAGGTGATTCTTCAGGCCCGCATGGAACAACGATTGAAGGTAGGGTTCGGGCACGTCAGTGACATGAGTAAGTACCTTCTCGAATGCCCCCTGGTATTCCATGACCCCCGTGACCTGTCGCACTCGGGCTAATTGTCCAACATAATCTACATAGTGCACTGGGTCGAACTGGAGCTTGAATTTTGCTACAAAGTCGTCCCAATCCCTGAGCAGTCCGTTATTCCTTCGCCACCGAAACCAATCGGCGGCTGGCCCTTCAAGCATCATGGTGACGCACCGCAACCGATCCTCCGGAGGTGTTTCGTAGTAGGCGAAATACTCCTGTACTTGATACAACCAACGCAGTGGTTCTGTGCCGTCGCTTTTGGGTGGTTCCAGTTTAGGCTTTGGCGTCTGGAACCCGCCNCACGGCAGTTTGGATCGTAGCCAGAGCACCGTCGAGTCTCTCAAACCTGAACTCCAAATCTCTCTGCATCTGCACCATGGCGTGTCCCATCTCACGAACCCTAGCATCGAGTTCGTGCGTGGTGGACGATGCGTCAGTCATGTCTCTCAACGAGAGCACCTTGATACGGAACGGTAATGAAGGGCTTCGAGTGCCTTCAAACTCCAATAGACTAATTAGGGTTTTATTATAGTAGTGAGAAACCCTAATCCTACTCTACCCTGTCGGTTCAAAAAAAGCGTCAAGGGAAAGAACCGAAAAGAAAACCCTTGAAGGGACTTATAGTACGTCCACCTAAAAAAACCTATTACATAAAATATTAATTTACTTTAAGACATAATCCCCGTGCCATCCCGGCGCTTTCCTCCTCCGCTGCTCTCGTGGTCTCCCGCGATCTTCCCAGGCCGGCATCCTTTCTTCTTGGGCCTGATTAGCCTTGACTCGGCCCACTGGCCTCTCCTGCTCACTCACATCCTTCTCTCGTGACCCATGCAAACCATGCGTAACAGTCTACCGTGGTGGGACGTGAAGAAGAAGAATAAAAGAAAAAGAAGAAGAAGAAGAAGGGAGGAAGAGGAGGAGGAAGATTGGAGAAGATAAAGGTAAGGAGAAATGATGATATTGATGAATATGATGATGATTAAAATGACGGAGTAACTGACGGAGGGATGAAAAATCCCTCCTTGGCAAGTTTTTCAATAATGTAAGGTACCTGCGAGTATATTTTAAAAATTAAGGGTTCCCGACAGTTCTTATCACAAAATGAGGGGTACCCATCAGTAATTTTTTGTCAGTATAAATGTATAAGTAGGGTTGGTTTCTCTTCGTTTAACAATCCTCTAATTACTATTTTAAATTATCATGCAGAATATCCCAGGTAGAGATATACAACCAGGGGCCTTTAATAAACCATCCTCTAATTACTATTTTAAATTATCATGCAGAATATCCCAGGTAGAGATATACAACCAGGGGCCTTTAATAACATCTTTTCAATGTTGAGGTCAAACGTGCACACTTTAATGAGTTCTGTCCTTCTTATAATGTGACTAGCATTTGTTTCAATGAGCAAATCATTTCAAAATTCAAGGATATAGATCTAGCCTTGCTTTTTTTAAAGCTTTGACATGTGGCCTTGCTTTATATTAATATATTGCATTATATTAAATAAACACGGGTCATTTTTTATTATATTGCAATATATGATTTGGGTAAAAGCACTTTCACTGGTTTGGGTTGTTATATATGATAATAATTATTGTTTCAAAGTTGAATTATTCTATTTTCTTTTTCTTAATACTCTCTTAAACATCTTGGATTATGCAATTCTTCCATCTCCACTGTTGACATGCATAATTGTTTGTAGCATCATTTCCCGAGTAAGTGATAAGTCCGTTTTGTACGCACTTATCTTCTCTTTATTTAACGTGTTGTTGTCCAATTTTGGATTAAACAAATCAATTTCTCAATGGTTTTTATAAGTTTTTATTCATAATTGTAAAAGTGCACAAAAGTTATGTCTAGTTTTAAAAAGAATAAAAATTGAGTCAAAAGTGGTACAAAAGTGTAAAAGATTGTGCAAATGGAATGCAACGGAGCAAAGAGGCAAAAGATGGTGAAAATCCATGAAGTGAAAAATGTGGATTCAAATATGGCGATGCACCCCGTCAAAAGATTTGAGGTCAAATGGATTGAAAAAGCTCTAAAAAAAGAATTGTTTGAAGTGAAAAAGTAAAAAAAAAAAGTTGTTTTGATTCAAATTAATTCGTTTGACCCAAATTGGTTCGGAATTTGAAGTCGGCGCAGAAGGAAAATATATTCAGAATAAAATTTTGAGCAAGACTGTATTTTTGGAACAATTTTCGGAACGGATCAAAATCCGGCCAACCAGGCGCTGCCACGTGGCGCGACCTGGCTGGCCGGCCAACTACAGCAGCAAGCAAGTTGTCAGCCACCACCATATCTTATAAAAAAAGATAAGATTGAAAGAAGAGAAAGGGAGTACGACGCAGCGCATGAAGACACAAAAAAAAAAAAAAAAACTCCAGTCTCCTAATCAGCCACTAGCCACCTCCGTCCATCTCTAATGCCTCCTATAAAAGGAGGCCTTCGCCCTCCACTCAAATACCAAGCTTTCTTCCGGGTCTCTTAAGGCCCGGACTCAATTTCTATCTTCTGTTTTCAGTTATATTTTAATACTTTTAGTTTAGTTTTGTTCTGGTTGTCCCAAAGTGGTTCTGGCTCTGCTTTCGGTTGTAAGTTTATTTTTACAACTTTTAATAAAATGTTCTTTTATTTTATGCACTGTTAATATCTAGTATGGGTTAGGACCCGGATTAGGGTTCTGGCTAAATTTGGGCATATACTCTGTATGTTTATTTAATAGTTGGAATAATTGTTGTAGAATTATTTTTATTGTTAAATTAATTAATTATGTCGAGAGAAAATTTAATTAATAATTGGAAATTAGTTTTTACCTTTTCTATGAGGATATAAAATTAATTAAGCCAAACTTTTTACAACGCATTAATGATACCTTGAGAGAGGATAAGTTAATGAAATATATTTATTCCAATTATTGATTAAATATGTGACAACATCAGTTAACCCAGATGATGCCTTGGCCCGAAGTCTAGTCCTATATTCGTACTATTTATTTTCTTTTTCTCAAAAGCGATCAGTAGTGTAGTTTAAATTTATTTTCAAATCAAATCGAGAGGACTTTCAGACCCGTCCTAACCTTCGTCTAGTTAGAAAAATTAGCTAATTCCCTTTCTCCACTCCTCGAGAGACACGACACATCGGAGAAAACTAACCCTTTATTGGGAAGGTTGACTTACCGAAAAACTCAATCATCAGTAAGCATAGCAGAATACGAGTCCCTAGCTTTTGGAACAAGCCTTGCACAACACAAAGTTGTATCCTACATGATCTTCTGTGTCATCCATGGTAAGTAAAACATTTTTCGGCCAGTTAAGTCCCACGTATGTGTTATACCCGAGACCCGGGGTATAATCAAGTTGCTATTTGAAGATGGAATTATGGAATGGTGAAGAGGAAATGAGGGGGACGAAATATGGGGGTAGAACAAAGAGTTGTTTTTTTGGGTTTTTTGATGAAAGAAAAGAATAAGTTCAAGAAAAAGAAATGGTGAGAAATGAAATTGGCAGAGGTAAAGTGAAGGGATAAACCAAGTTGGTGTTAAGAGATATAACACACTCTTATCTTAACTTTGGGTTTGAATCTAGAATTCAATCAAGATATGACACACTTAATTAAATATCTAGAACCTAAAATTACACTTAAGAGAACTACTCTTAAGATATAGAATTAGGAATTTGGCTAAAATAACATCACACTATTTTAAGAGAATACTCAAAAGAGTAAACAAGGTTTTTGAATTCAAAAAATATGCTGCTTACAATGGCCATAAGGCCGAGCTATATATGCACACTACAAAGGGGAAAGAATACATTAATAATGAAGAAGAAAACAATAACAAAGAAGCTTCCTAGTGCCTTCCCAAATCAGCATCCAAATGAGTGCATTAATGACTAGGATGAGGGTTTTATGCATGTCTGCCACATGTGAGGAAAGTCCAAGGCTGTGAAAAGCTTTACTTGGCCTATTTTGGAAGGGTCTATTTCGTCCATATGTAGTACAAATCAGTGGGAAACATTGTGGGGTTTAGTGGGATATTATTTGGGTAAAAATGGGGCTGGTTTGTTCGGCCTCTAGTGAATGAAATCACAAGGAGATATTGGATGAATTTGGAGAATATTCCTTGGCTTGTGTTGAAGAGAGTATTTCGGCTATTAGTGAGCAAGACAACGGAACATGGTGTGGCTGTGAAAGGAAAGTATTTTGGCTTAAAATGAGTTATGGATTTTCGGCCTTATGCACACAAAATCAAGAAGGATAATTTGAAACTTAATATGAAGATATTCTAGGCTGTATTTGGTGGATTGTTTTTGGCCTTTTGTGGGTGTTTATGTTGGGATAGTGAGATTTAATTGGCCAGGAAATAAAGGAAAGAGAGAGGGTTTTATTTGTTTATTGGAAAGGCTTAAAAGAAGGAAAATAACAACAAACAAAAGGTTTTGGTTTCTTATTATTAACCAAGGAAATAAAATAGATGGTAAAGGCTTTATTTTGGGACAAAGAAAAGATAAAAGACTTTTGGATATGTTGGGAGGGGTTGGGATTTTGGTGGAGCCATCCAGGGGTATAACATACTCCCCTTCTTCAAAAAAAGTTTGTCCTCAAACTTTCGCACCACCGTAGGAGATTATGGTTTCATATGAGTATTCCCGGATCAAATGGGAATCTTATTGAACCACCAACGGGAAGGCTCTCTCCGCACTAGTACATAAAAGGGCAAAGGCACCGGTTGTTTTATACCTTTAGCATCGGTTTTGTACCGATGTAAATACGAGCGATGCAATTGGTCCAATTCAATTGCATCGCTTTGGAAACAACCGGTGCCTTTGCTATTTTATTAATTTTAAAAAAAAGAGTATTAGCATCGGTTGTTTCTAAACAACCGGTGCCTTTGCTATTTTATTAATTTAAAAAAAAAAGTATTAGCATCGGTTGTTTCTAAACAACCGGTGCCTTTGCCATTTTATTAATTTAAAAAAAAAATATTAGCATCGGTTTTTTCTAATCAACCGATGCCTTTGCTATTTTGTTAATTTAAATAAAAGAGTATTAGCATTGGTTTTTTCTAAACAACCGAAGCCTTTGCTATTTTGTTAATTTAAATAAAAGAGTATTAGCATCGAAACTACCGATGCAATTGTACTATCGCCAATTGCAGAATAACAATTTGGTTCGGAATTAAACAAATAGAAGTGCACTCCAAATCAATTAAGCTTAGCCAAATATTCTTTGAGAGAAATTATCAAACACCTTTGGATAATCAGACTTTTGAAATGAACTTCTCAGTTTCATCCACAATTATCATGCATATGTTTCACCTTAGGGTTAGAACCACTCACATGCTGAATTTGACAAACTGGCATACACAAGAACATACCCTTCCCTAGCTTGTACATGGTGCGAAAACAATTCCTAGTAACAGGAATGTGATAAAACTAACAGATGAAGAGCACATTTCTTCATCTCTGCTTCATCGTCACTGCATTGCAATGCCACACGCAGAATGTCAATAAACAGTCACTCTTAAAACAACATATCATTATTTCCTTTAGCTAGCTAGTTTGGGAAAACAGAATTCGATATATTTTTCTTTTTAAGTACTCCGTATAAAAAAAGTAGTCTTGTGCCATTAATATAAAAGAGTCATAATTTCCAATTGTGACTCTTTTAGCTTCATTGACTACTGAAACAAAAAAAAAAAGAATCTTTTAGTTACCTGAATAGCCCCAATTCCAAAAGTTGCGGCTTTACTGGATGAAGCTCCTATGGATATTGGAAATTACAAAACATTAAAAAATTACACATGTATGTTCAAAATTTCATAGCATTATGAGGCACTCAAGACTTATGGAACAAATGCCCCCAGTAACTGTCACTGCATCATTTGAAGATTATGAAGCTGAGAGAAGAACTCACCAGCAGATTCGAAGATCTTACTAGAATAGAATAAAACGCTGTTGATTCCGCATAGTTGATGGAGAGAAAGTAATCCAATGCCGATCTACACTATGCATTAGCACCATATAGAGAAAAAGCATGAAAGTTTTAGCATGCTTTATAACACAATTTTTTGTTGTATAAACAAAAGAAACTGATAAAGATGTTTATAGAACCATGAATATTTTACCATCAGAGGCAAATAATATCACTGTTTCTTGAGTTCTGAAAACCGGACACTACTTGAGCTTTTACCAGATAATGCCACTGATTTCTGAAGAACCATGAATGTTTTACCATGAAGAATATTTTTTGACCTATATCACAAGAAACACCAGTAAATACTACGGAGTATATCACAACACCAGTAAAAAGCTGTCCATTTGTGCCTCAGAATCATATAACGAATGTATAAAGAGTCCATAAAAAGAACCAGTGAGTCTGAATGTTTTAAGCAGGAGCTAAGACCACAATTACTTCTGTACTCACCTTTAATTTAGACTGTTCCAAGTATTCACCAGCTTCATCCCTACGGTGCAATCTGATTTCAGTTCCACGGCCAAGTGGCTCATTCCACTCATCCTATGAAATTGCAAAGGCTCCATCAGCCTTTAATTCCCAAACATATCTGAAGGCAGAGATTTCGGAGCAATTACTCACATAATATTATGAGAAATTAGAAACCTTGATGATCAGTTAGGAGGCTCGAAAAGAAATAAAATGGGGAAGAAAATGGAGAAAGAAAAACAATTGGGGGGGGGGGGGAAGGAAAATTGTTAAGGTCACAAAAGAGCACAGATTCACACATTCAATTCAATGGACATCATGGTAGAGCTTACTGCTTATCATCATTGTGTTTGCTAATAACTTCTACATAGTCAGCCACGAGATAGACAGAGTAGAACCCAACACCAAATTGTCCGATAAGGTTAAGGTCTCCACTTTTCTGCATTTTCTCAACAAATATTGCTGTACACAACAACAAAGTAACAACCATATAACTAATTCGATCCAATAACAGAGAAGAGGATAGAGTATGCAGCTAGCAGTGAACTGCTTTTTCATATTTGAGATTTGCAAAACAGATACCTGAAGTGCCAGATTTGGAAATGGTTCCCAAATTCTTGATTAAATCCTCCTTTGTCATCAAAATTCCTCTTCGTCTGTCACGAATTGAATGGATTTTCTTTTCTTTATCCAATTTAATTTGCATTATAAATCATATGAGAGAGTAAAATATTTAACCCATTAATTAGTGTTAATAATGTTATCAAAGTAACCAATATGCATAATAAGATCAAACAATCTGCCTTGAGCTCATGACACTGCTCAAATCCGACCAAAACTCCAATTTTCAATTTTAATGTCTTCAAATCAAAGAATCGGCGAATAAAAAGTGTAGAAAATCCACGAATTCGATCAAAGTGCACATAGATCCAATCCAAGCAAAAAGAAGACAGACATATATACAGCTGTGAATAAAATTGAAAAGGATGGGGAAAGAAATCACCTCTAAGCAAGGCTTTAGATGGTTCCGACCATCCAATGGATCGGAACCTCAAGTTCCTCATCTCGCTACTCGATCTTTGCACTCAGAAGCGTGAGCCGTCCATGAAGACTTGTCCGATTGAGACCTAGGGTTTGATCATAGCACACTAGCCTTGACACTAGGGATGGCGACGGCGTTGTTGTCGAGCGCGGAAATGGCGATGGCCCAAAGACAACGGCGCGGGACGATGGTGAATGAACAATCGTAGAGAAGAAGATAGATAGGGCGTCTCTGGTTATTGACTTAAAGAAAAATAAGAGGACCCGCTTCTGTTGAGGAAGAGAACCGATGCATAAGCACTCTCCTTTAAGAAAATCAAAAAATAAAAAAGAGTATTAGCATCGGTTATATAAAATAAGCGATGCTATTGATCAATTGCATCGGCTATTCTAAATAACCGATGCTAATACTCATTTTAATTTTTTTATTATTTTTTAACAAATATCAAAAGCATCGCTTTTTTAAAATAACCGATGTTTTTGATCTTTTGCATCGGTTGTTTTAATAACCGATGCTATTGAGGCAGTCTATTTACTAATTTTTGTAGTAGTGCCGGGATCTATAGACACCTTGTTGTGTAATTCCCAGAATGTTATGGCATTTTTGAACAACATATAGTACTCCGAGGGATCATCCGTCGGGTATTTTCCCGAGCTCAGTACTTCTTTCTTCACACCTATTTTAAATGATCAAAAACAAAGGAATTGTCATAATCATCAGCATTAGAAATGAGGGCGTGATTAGGCAGCTCCGGTGCCCCTGAAATAAGTTCATCGATGATGACTTCTTCTTCATTTTCAACATGGAAGTCAAAGGCATCCTCAACGAGGACGTTTATATCGTCAGAGCTTTTCGTTTCCTCATCAAGAGTTGGTTCTTCAGGTGGAAATGGATCATTTATGGCTCCTTCAAAGGAACAATTTTCTTCATCATCCTTGGTCCACTCTTCATATGGGATGGCATGCTTGTTCGAGCACTCCAAATTGCTATGACCATAGCCACCACACATGAAACCCCGTCGGGAAGCCCATTGTAATAATGCTCCGTTTGCAAGGATAATTTCCAGATTTTTGATTTTGAGATGTCTTTTAGAGACCATATCTCACTAATCCGAAATTGGAATTGGGTGACTCCAACTCTCAGTGTTAGATATTGAAGTCCTTATTGACATATCAGAAATTCAGAGCCATTGAAAAAAATGTTTTCTACCTCTTTGGAGACAAACCCAGCAAGGTAGACAGAATCCGGCCAGGACTGTGTTATCAACTTCGGGAGGGCGTATCTCTCAAACCGTAACTCGGAATTGAGTGAAATCAGCGGCCAGACGTAGATAAAAGGTTAAACTACTGAACTGGAAAGTTTCACCTTCAAATACGTCGTGTAACTTCCTCCGTGCTCAATGCTATGGAACTGAAAGTCTATGAAAAAAAATCAGCAACCTTTGGGCAACGGATGCAAAGCCGGTCCTCAAGGTGATCGTCGAGACTTAAGAAAGTCGTCGAAGCTGAGCTTTGATACCAAATGTTATACCCGAGACCCGGGGTATAATCAAGTTGCTATTTGAAGATGGAATTATGGAATGGTGAAGAGGAAATGAGGGGGACGAAATATGGGGGTAGAACAAAGAGTTGTTTTTTTGGGTTTTTTGATGAAAGAAAAGAATAAGTTCAAGAAGAAGAAATGGTGAGAAATGAAATTGGCAGAGGTAAAGTGAAGGGATAAACCAAGTTGGTGTTAAGAGATATAACACACTCTTATCTTAACTTGAGGTTTGAATCTAGAATTCAATCAAGATATGACACACTTAATTAAATATCTGGAACCTAAAACTCACACTTAAGAGAACCACTCTTAAGATATAGAACTAGGAATTTGGCTAAAATAGCATCACACTATTTTAAGAGAATACTCAAAAGAGTAAACAAGGTTTTTGAATTCAAAAAATATGCTGCTTACAATGGCCATAAGGCCGAGCTATATATGCACACTACAAAGGGGAAAGAATACATTAATAATGAAGAAGAAAACAATAACAAAGAAGCTTCCTACTGCCTTCCCAAATCAGCATCCAAATGAGTGCATTAATGACTAGGATGAGGGTTTTGTGCATGTCTGCCACATGTGAGGAAAGTCCAAGGCTGTGAAAAGCTTTACTTGGCCTATTTTGGAAGGGTCTATTTCGTCCATATGTAGTACAAATCAGTGGGAAACATTGTGGGGTTTAGTGGGATATTATTTGGGTAAAAATGGGGCTGGTTTGTTTGGCCTCTAGTGAATGAAATCACAAGGAGATATTGGATGAATTTGGAGGATATTCTTTGGCTTGTGTTGAAGAGAGTATTTCGGCTATTAGTGAGCAAGACAAGGGAACATGGTGTGGCTGTGAAAGGAAAGTATTTTGGCTTAAAATGAGTTATGGATTTTCGGCCTTATGCACACAAAATCAAGAAGGATAATTTGAAACTTAATATGAAGATATTGTAGGCTGTATTTGGTGGATTGTTTTTGGCCTTTTGTGGGTGTTTATGTTGGGATTGTGAGATTTAATTGGCCAGGAAATAAAGGAAAGAGAGAGGGTTTTATTTGTTTATTGGAAAGGCTTAAAAGAAGGAAAATAACAACAAACAAAAGATTTTGGTTTCTTATTATTAACCAAGGAAATAAAATAGATGGTAAAGGCTTTATTTTGGGACAAAGAAAAGACAAAAGACTTTTGGATATGTTGGGAGGGGTTGGGATTTTGGTGGAGCCATCCAGGGGTATAACAGTATTATTTGTTTAACGTGCGTTGCTCTTGCCTCATTACTCTTATATACATTAGCATCCCTTTTCCAAAATACTTATTCAATATATTGATGTGTCAACTTTGTGCCATTATCTTTAAGGATTTGGAAGCCAAGAGGTATATTTGTTTAATGGTTGAATTTAAGGTGAGAGTTATTGTCCTTTCCTCAAAGATGGGTTGATGAATGTGCTTCTCTATAGGGTTCCTTCATAGCCTTTACTAATGAATAAATTGTCTAGAATCATTTATTATACAGAATTCAGACAATAATTTATTAGGTAGAATTTTGTTGATATAAAGGTTTGTGATTATAAAAATTAATATGTAGATTATTGAAGTCAATTGAACCCCAACTTTATTGTGTACACATCACCAGTGTTCTCTTAAAAATACTTCATATACATTAAAATTTAATGTAAAAGATTAGGGAACTTATGAAATTCAAACAAAATGAGAATTAGGTGCTCACTCTCAGTGAAGGGTTGGAGTTTAGTTTAACTAATCTCTTAAACATGTCACATCCAAAACTACATCCTCAATCACCAGAAGAGTGTTGCAATTTTTAGTTTGACCTCAGTCAAGAATAAAAATTAAATGGAATTCCCTAATATTTTGGAGGCGGTGAAGGTGAGATCAGTTGAAACTATGGAAACATATATGACTTCCATAATTTCTTATTGATCTAGAGGATCTGATCTCAACTTCTGTTGGGAAAAATATTATAGATTTTGATGATGATGTATTTAGAATGTAATATGGACTTTAGGTCTTCCCCATTATTCAATGTAATTTTTCTTTTTAGAAATATTGTCAAAACCGAGTTCTTGAGATTTCTAATAAAGTTGTGATATTTCTTTAAGCGTTTTGATGCCTGAAGACTTAATCAAATTCAGTGATATGAAAATTGAATATCTTGATCGGAAATGTCAGAGACAAGTAAGGATTTCTCAAACAGATGAAAATCCTCTGATCCGGAAGACTACATAAGAACCGGATGTCTCGCTACAACCCGCTGAAGGCTAAGTCATCCAAGTCGGAAGACTAGCGCGGATCTCTTTCTCACCCGGAAGACTAAGAATGACTTCTCCGGATTTGTCAGCTAAGAATCGGAAGACTCATTGAAGACCGGAATTCTCAGAAAGCGGACAAGTGAGAAAAGACATAGAAAAATTATCTAAGTCTTGAATGAAGAAATTCTACCCGTTGTTAAGGAAAAATCAATCTCTTGATTTTCAACGGCTAGATTGAAGATAATCATGCTGATTCAAGAACAAATTACTCGAAGACAAAGTCTGGACCTCTAAAATTAAAAAGCCTACCCAGAATTCCTAAACAAGCACTAGAAGACAAACAGAGTAAAGTGCTACAGTCTTGAATTCTTGAACAACAGCTAGAAGACGGATTCTGTAGAAAAAGGAATCCTTCCTCAACAATTGGGTACGTCCAAACACCCACTTCAACAAAGAATCTTCAAATCACAATCTTCATTCAAAATTGAAGCCAGCAAATGCAACGGATAGTCTATTATGATTCAACGGATAGATTATCCAATCCAGCTATAAATAGCATCCTTGGAAGACTGAAGAAAAGAATGACGATGAGATACGTTGATACAACTACACAACGAAGCAATCTCTAAACAACAAAGCTATCTCATTCACAGTTAGCCCAAAAAGCTTGATAAAGAGAGATTTCTAAACTCCTTATCCAGAAGCAAACTCCTCCTCCTTCCAAAGAGCTATAGTGTAAACACTTGAAGGTTTCCTGCCTCAAGTACCACACCACGTTGAAGGATACTACTTTTGATCAAACTTATTGATTAAAAGGGGGTAGGTCAAATTTCTTACAAGTTGATCTTGCAAGTCCTATTGTTCGGACCTTGCAGTTGTTGAAGAAGCGTGACCTTCGAAGGAACAACAAAGCCAGCACGAGTGCAGTAGCAAAATTGGTCTTGCGAAGATATACCGTGCAGAAATTCACACAAGTGTAATTGTTGGTTCATTATTCAACAACCAACTACATAGTGGATTTTGAGGACGTAGAAGGATTACCCCACCTTCGAACCTCGTTAGAGAATCTCAAGTTGATTGAAGGTCGGAAAAGTCAACTGAATGAGATCACTCAACTCAAGACTGAAAATGAATTTCTCTCTGAAAAGGTGAAATCTCTTAACAAAGAGCTAGGGATACTTAAGTCCAAAGAAGCAGTGGATAAGCTTCTTGAAACGACCAAACAAAAGGGCCGTGAAGGACTTGGGTTTGACCCCTCTAGTTCCAAAAGGAAAGGGAGAACAACCTTCATCCCTCCTAAACCTACTACCACACCAAATAAGCAGAAAGGAAAGGAAAAGGAGAAACCAACAGAAGTTCCCAAAAAGGTAGTCCCTCCTAAGAACTATAGGAAGCTGGACAGACCTCAAAGAGGAAATAATTTCAGAAGAAAACCCTCTAACCCCCATTATACACGAGGCTATACTCATTATGGGGTAGACAGGAGTTTTCCAAGAAATTCTGAGTGGAGAACTATGCCAAGATATAGTCACCCTCCACCCCAGAAGCTATTTGTGCCACCTAAGTATGCTTATAACCGACACAGGACACACTATGCACAACCTAGACAAAATCATAGGTCTTATCAACCTATGTTTGCTAGGAGGAAACAGGAAATTGCACCTCCTGCACGTAGGAAGTTTTATGCCTACAACTATGATTACAATCCCAACAAGTTTAGAGCTGCAAGGAAAATTCCCTGCAACTTCAAACTTGATGTAGGGACACACACCATTAACTATTCTGGACCCAAACTTAATTGGGTACCAAAATCTTCCTCCTCCTAATGCAGGAAGCCGCTAAGTACCCAGGTGTCTGGTACTTAGACAGTGGCTGTTCAAGACACATGATGGGTGATGCGAGCCTTTTGAGCAATCTAATTCCCTATGATGGTCCAAGAATTACTTTTGGAGGAAGCAATGATTTCGGCCTTACTAAAGGGCTAGGAAATCTGGTGTACAAGGGACTAACCATCCAAGCTGTATCTTATGTTGAAGGTCTCAACTATAACCTTCTTAGCATAAGTCAGTTTTGTGATAAAGGTTACTCCTTGGAATTCTGCAAGGACATGACATCTCTCAAGAACATCTCCACAAATGAAGTCATTCTCACTGGGAAGAGAATCAGAAACATCTATGAAGTAATGTGGGACAATGTCAAGGAAGCATGTCTAATCAGCAAAAGTGACACTAACCTTCTATGGCTTTGGCATAAGAGGTTGAGTCATCTCAACTTCAAAACCCTCAACAAGCTGTCCAAAGAAGGGTTAGTAGAAGGTCTTCCCAAAGCTGCATTCAGGAAGGAAAGCATTTGTGACGCTTGCCAAAAAGGAAAGCAAGTCAAGTCCACTTTCAAGGCAAAATCGGCACCCTCAACTACAAGGATATTAAGTCTTATTCACATGGACTTATTTGGCCCTGTCACACCAATAAGTCTAAGTGGAAAGAAATATGTCCTGGTGGTAGTTGATGATTACTCAAGATACACGTGGACAATCTTCCTCAACAGCAAGAAGGAGACTCAAGGGAAACTCACCAACTGCATGAAGCTGATTCAAAACCAAGCAAGTCAGAAGATCATATCTGACAAAGGCACAAAATTCCTGAATGAAATCATCATTCACTATTGTGAAGAAAACGGAATTCTTCATCAGACTTCCGCAGCTAGGACACCTCAACAGAATGGTGTAGCTGAAAGAAGGAATAGAACCCTGAAGGAAGCAGTGAGAACCATGCTAGCAGAAGCTTCCTTACCAAAGAGGTTCTGGGCTGAAGCTGTTAACACGGCTTGCTATACTCAGAATAGGAGTATGATTTATAAAAGGCACAACAAAACTCCCTATGAACTGTGGAACGGGAGAAAGCCTAGTATATCATATTTCCATATTTTTGGGAGCAAGTGCTTTGTGTTAAACAACGGGAAGAATCATCTAAACACTTTTGATGAGAAATAAGATGAGGCCATCTTCCTAGGATATTCCATGGTAAGCCAGGCATTCAGAGTCTTCAACAAAAGAACCATGATCACTGAAGAGTCAATACATGTTATTTTTGATGAAAAACATGTGGTTGACAAACCATCAAAGCATGATCATGAGGTTCTGGATCTATCAGACAAGGATGAAGAAGTCAATGAAGGAGATAGAATGAAGCCCACGGAGTTCATTCCATTCAGAAGTCTGCCTCTGAAGACTTCACAAAGAAATCCGGATTCAGACAGTGCTGAGCCTTCCGGAAATTTTGGCCAACCTTCCAATATTCCGGATCTCTCAAACGGCGACAATTCCGGAAATGGCGACCCAGTGCCAATCCATCCGGAAACACCAATAACCTCTGTTCTTCAACCAGAAGCTGAACTAGATCAACCAGTCAATCCCAATCAACACAATCTTCGTTGGTTAAGGGATCATCCTCCCCAACAGATCATTGGAGATATTCAATCTGGTGTTCGCACAAGGAGTGCCCAACAGAATCTAGAAGCCATGCTTGCCTGTTTCATCTCACAAGTAAAACCAAAGAATATTGAAAAAGCTCTAGCTGATTCTGACTGGATCAATGCAATGCAAGAAGAACTCAACCAATTTTCCAGAAATGACGTCTGGAAACTTGTTCCAAGACCTACTCATCAACATGTCATTGGGACAAAGTGGGTCTTCCGGAACAAGATGGATGAAAACGGCGTTGTTGTCAGAAACAAGGCCCGGTTAGTTGCAAAAGGATACTGTCAAGAAGAAGGTATAGATTTTGATGAAACCTTCGCTCCAGTTGCTAGACTTGAAGCTATAAGGCTGTTTCTAGCCTTTGCTGCTCATAAGGACTTCAAGGTCTATCAAATGGATGTCAAAAGCGCATTTCTCAACGGAAACCTAGAGGAAGAAGTTTATGTGGAACAACCTCCAGGATTTGAGTTACACACTAAGGGAGATCAAGTATATAGACTCAAAAAGGCGCTGTATGGACTCAAACAAGCACCAAGAGTTTGGTATGATACATTGTCTCAATTTCTCATAGACAATGGATTTACCAAAGGAGTAATTGACAAGACATTGTTCAAACTACAAGATGGAGAAGATCTCCTATTAGTTCAGATCTATGTGGACGACATCATATTTGGCTCAACTAAGGAAGACCTATGCACTAAGTTCTCAACCCTCATGCAAAGAAAATTTGAGATGAGCATGATGGGGGAACTCAACTACTTCCTTGGCCTTTAAATCAAACAGAGAAGTGAAGGCACTCTCATCAACCAAGCCAAGTATACAAGGGATCTTATCAAGAAATTCAAGGTTGATCAGAAGTCATCCGTTTCTGTCCCCATGAGTACATCAACCAAGCTTGATATGGATGTAGATGGAAAGGATGTAGATCAAACTCTCTACATAGGAATTGTCGGATCTCTACTTTACCTTACTGCAAGCCGTCCGGATATCTCATACGCAGTAGGTGTGTGTGCTAGATTCCAGTCAAAGCCAAAGGAAAGTCATCTAATAGCAGCTAAAAGAATTCTTAGATACCTCAAAGGATCTCAGAACGTGGGTTTGTGGTATGCTAAGAGCAATTCATTTGAGTTAGTGGGATACTCAGATTCTGACTTCGCCGGATGCAAAGTTGACCGGAAAAGTACATCGGGTGCTTGTCAATTCATTGGCGGAAATCTCGTTTCTTGGTTCAGTAAGAATTAATACTCCATTTCTACATCAACAACAGAAGTAGAGTACATTGCAGCTGGTAGTTGTTTTGCTCAAATTTTGTGGCTAAAGCAACAACTACTGGACTATGGAGTCAAGACAAAGGAAGTGACAATCTTTTGTGACAATCAAAGTGCCATAGCCATCTCTCAAAACCCAGTGCATCATTCTCGCACTAAGCACATTGATGTCAAGCATCACTTCATCAGAGATCATGTGGAAAAGAAAGATATCAAAATTGAGTACATCTCAACTGAAGATCAACTGGCGAATATCTTCACAAAACCACTAAGTGAAGCCAAGTTTTCCGATTTGCTTCACAAAATTGGTCTAATTCAATTAGACTGAGTGCGGTACACGTGGCGAACTACTTTCCACGTCTGTCCATATATTAGGTAGGCACGTGGCCTTGGGAATAGTCAAAAACCCAATCGCCACTAGCCGCAAAGTCGCTTAAATTAAACCCAATCGCCACCACTCAGATCTCAACCGCCCACTCAAAAATTTTTCGTCGTCTTCTTCGCGAAAAATCTCAAAGAACTCGCAAGAACCCTAGGTCTTTCTCTCTCAAATTCTCACTCAAATTTCT